TTAAAATCTGCAACAAATGCTTAAGATATATATAATGTTGGAATTTTTTTTTTTTGATATTAAGATGACCTCTTGGTCATGTACCTTTATTCGATTATAGTTATAATTTTTACAATATAATTTTCACATACCGTATACATATTTGGAGAGTATAACTAGCTATACGTGCAACTTTTGGTTGCCTATTTTAAGTAGTCCGCTTATTACTAAGTTTTATACTAGATATCATATCTATAATCTGACTAGTAGATTAACTATTTAAACCTTCTGCATCTATATGATTACACTGTTCAATCAAGCAAGAATCCAATTTGGATACTCTTAGTTTCGAATACCAACTTAAAATTTTAAAACAAGCTTTTTGCTATCAAAAGCCCTTTATCTTTGAAGCAAACCTGCTAGAGCCTTCTGTATCTACAATCTAGCTAATCTAGTCTTCGGTTAATACACACAGGCTGAGGCTATACATACCAACAAAATTATTTTGGGTTTTAGAATACGAAATTAAAATTTAAAGACAAAATTGTTTTTGACCTATTTTACTTAAAAGACGAAATTTTTTGATACTTTTTTTGAAGAGACAAAATTATAAGGAATATAACTACCTAAATTAGATTTGCTCTTGCATATAAAAAATTTTAAATTGCTCTAATGGAAATGAAATAGGGTTTTTTTGAAAACCTATTTTGGTGGCATGTATAGCTGAGGCCTGCCACTTGTGCTCTAGTTTTCATATTGGATACTATAGCCTGATCGCTACTATATAACATACTTTTGCCTTTATAGAATTTATCCAAACCCTGGTACATATATTACAGACTGTCTACGGTATCTTTGACTATTCAAACTACTAATCCAGATGGCTCAAAAGGGCTATGATCTGCTTCTGGTCTTCACGTTTAGGTCCTTTTTTTCTAGTTACTCCTTTGGTAGTCTGGTTGGTAGAATGTTTTGTCAAATACTTTGGTTCTGTTTAATTTTTGCCAGTTCTTCTAATGATAATCCTTTACATAGTACTATTAAAGATCTGTACTACCTCTCTATTCAGAATTTGCCAAGTGAGTGCTCTTCGGCTCTGTAGCTTTCTGCGATTCAAAAATCTTTTCATGTAACTTATACATTACACAAATATCCTGAGATCTTCTAGTTCTGATAAATTGGTATAATCACAGTTACAGGGTCTCAAGTTTTCCTAGCCATGACAATAGTTACCAAATCCATTTTTTAAAATTCAATTTTCATCTTCAGTGAGAATTGAACTTGTACTCAACTGCTTAGGGATACGACAACTTCACCACTTTACTAAGTCACCACACCTTTAATATTGAAAATTGCTATATTCTAAATTATATAAAATTCTAAAGATTTGTTCTGATTATTAATCAAAAAATTTTAATTAGTTCTTGATTAATAAGTCATACTTTGCTATAAACACTAAGATAATATTGATAAAGTATATAAAACTAGATATTACTATAATTATTAATTTAGCCAAAAATGAAAAACTAAAAAATCTTTCTTTGAAAAATATCAATCATAAGATAATATATATCTATCAAATAAATATTTACAAACAATTGCTATATGCAAGTTGATTATTGATATTGCAATAAGAAATTTTTATAGTATAAGATTCTCAAAAAAATACACTTGAACAATTCGAATTTTGTACTATTTTCAAAAATTCTTAAAAAAATTAAATGCTTTTACAAAAAATTTTATTATAATTTTTATTAATTTAACTATATCTGTACTTTGTTTTAGTAGACTTTTCGAACCAATTCTGGTAAAATCCCAGAAAATCAACAAGAAATATTAAAGACTCCTCTTCTTGGATTAGATAATCTATCTATATATACTAAGGCTCTTCACTTTAATTTCTTAGAAAATTTAATTCTTTTTCAAAAAATTAAATTCAAATCAAATTTTAAAAATCAAAAATTAAAAATTTTTAAATACTGCAACATGTTTTTAAAACAACAAACAGTATAAAATACTTCTCAAATTTAATTTTAATCAGAAGCTTCTCAAATTTAAAGACAAAAAAATATTAATTATTTTTGAAAAAACTTACTGACAAATTTTTAAACTATGAAAAAAATTAAATTTTTTGAAGAAGATAATAATTCTTATAAAAAATATTTAAATAATTTAATTTTAATAATTTTTTATTTTATTTTTTTTAAAATTTATATTTATTAAACAAATAATATATATAAAATTAATGTTGTACTTCTTAAACAAGCAATAGAAGTTCAAGTTAAGAAATAACTTTTTAATAATTATTTAAATTTGGTTAAAAACAATTTTTAGAATTTATTGATTCTGTTAGAATAAAATAGTTATTAGTCAAATAGCTTGTATTTGACAAAAATTTTTAATTAATTTTTTGTTTTATCACTTATGACTTGTATTTTAATTCATAGACAATGAACAAAGTAAATCAATTTATTGTAATATTTTTATTTTTTTTAAATATAATTATAATTTTATTAATAAATAAAAAAATTTTTACAAATATATATTAAAAAGGAAAATATAATTTTGTGTATATGCATAGTTATGCATATTATACCGATTATATATAATATAGCATATATACACATACATACAGATAAAATAAGTTTTATAGATTCAGAGGTGATTGTAATATTGTTACGTATAGTAATATAAATAATAGGGTCAATTAAATACGATTGATCTTTTTTCTTTTTTGCTTGATTATTTGTCTTGTAAATATAAATAAAGACAGTAAATACGATCAAATATCTTTTTTTTTGTTTAACTATTTGTTTTGTAAAATGTAAATAAAAACAGCAATATAGGTCAATAGTAAGTAAAGGTTAAACACGAAGAAAGTGTAAAAACAATAATAAAAAAAAAAAAAATGTGTGCAAAACCTTATCTTTGAACGGTTACATTATTTAACCTGTTGACGATATCTTTGCATATTTGTTTATTAGATTCTTGTTTTTTCCGTTGTTTGTATCATTTGCTTTGCGGTTGTTTTTTTAGTAGTTCACTTTATCTTGTTACTACATTTGATTATTTTGTTATGCGGCATTAACTTTTTGAATTTTTTTAACTCACTTATGTCTGAAAAGAAAGAGCTTTTCAAAAATAATGTAAGTAAAGAGATCAAGCTTGAAGATAGATTTCTTAGAGAAGTAGTACTATCTGAAGATGATAATATGACTGATATTGAGTTTGAAGAGGACCTGCGTGTTGATGACATGGCTGAAGATACTGGACCTGGCTTATCTGATATTGAGTTTGAAGAGAACCTGCATGTTGGTAACATAACTGAAAATACTGAACCTGGCTTACCTAATATAGAGTTTGAAAAGGACCTGTGTGTTGGTGACATGGCTGAAGATACTGAACTTGGCTTATCTGATTGTTTGTCTAAAGAGATCATAAGTTCTGAATTATTTTGTGAAAAAGTTTTTTCAACATAGGAAGAATGTGATTTATTTCTTAATAGATGGTCAAAGAAAAATAGTTTTCATATAAAAAAGAATTGTGTATAATGTGTAGAAGAAATTATCTGACAACGAACATATCTATGTAATTATAGCCATTCTTATTCCTTAAACCGTCCCAAGTTAGCAGGCATATTTAGCTGCTAAAATGTTAAAATTGTTATGTCTGATCTATTTTTTTAA